GGAAGGAGAGCCTCGATCTGAAGTCTCGGGAGATCGAGACGGAGACCCGCGGGCGCGACGGCGGCTGGCGACCTGGGAATGAGAACCAGGAACGACGGCGGGATCGGGCGAACTGGCGAGATCTGACGAGGGCGGCGGGATCAGATCGAGGAGCACGAGTTGCGCGTGCGAAAAAAAAAACAAGGGCTCTAATACCATGTTAGGAATAAGCAATTTGTATTTCCATGAGGCCATAGGCCGATATATATACATGTACATGTATGGAACATATGCAGAAAACCCTTTATTCAACGGGATAAATACAAAGGGGTATATGACTTATATTATAACTCTAACAATTTTTAGGTTCGGTGTTGCGTATTCTCGTTTATTTAGGATCAGCTAATTATAGTTCTTACTGTCCTAATGCATCAACAAGAGATCAGAACAATCTAATACTTTTTATTAAAAGGGCATCTTCTAATCTCCATCTTTAATTCATCCAAATCTATACAAAAAATTGGGAGGTCTACCGAAGCAAAACTTTGTTTTCTCATTGTTGTTACCGGGTGGTTAGTTGACTGGCTATAGAATCTATGGATGACCGAGTCAGGCGAAAACTGCAGGCCATCCGTGAGCAAGTGCGCGTCCTCTTTCTAATGACTGGACATTTCTCCTGTATATAAGTACAGTGTGATTACTTACAATATGAATGTTGATCAGTTCAACTTCTGAATTCAATCTTTCCGTCAACTTGAACTGAGTATATGTATATTACAGTGCTGATCCTGAAATTTGCTCCTAGTACATACACCTACCATTTGAATCATTGCCAAGCTCAGAAATGCATTGTTACTGCAACCATGAGCCTGTACTTATTAGTAGTAAGATGAATCACCTCATTAGCAAACTCTATGCTATATACAACTCATCCGATCGACAGGGGCAGCGCCCTTATTTCTCCAGAATCAATACAAAGCACATCATAACCCGCTAGCATTCGACGCTACCGAGTGGTTCGTTGACTGGCTATGGAATCTATGGATGACCGAGTCAGGCGAAAACTGCAGGCCCTCCGTGAGCAAGTGCACGTCGTCTTTCTGAGACGCCTTCTTCTTCATGCTCTTAGCCCGACAGTCTCCGTCCCTGACACAAGTCAGGATCTCCACCACCTCCTTGATCGACGGTCGCAGATCCCTCTCCATCTGCAGGCACTGGAAGGCCACCTCAGCCACGCGGTCGATCGTCCTCTTCGTTTCGGGGTCGGTGTCGTAGCCGAGCTCCGGATCAACCAGCTGAACAACTTCATGGTTCTGAATCCTGTTGAGAGCCATGTTGGCCAGGTTGATCTCACTGTGGCTCCTGCTCATGTCCACAGCAGGCTTTGAGGATATCAGCTCCACCAACACAACGCCAAAGCTGTAAACGTCGCTCTTGTCGGTCAGCTTGTAGCACTGGTGGTACACGGGGTCGACGTAGCCGGGTGTGCCCTGTGGAACGGTCGAGACATGGGTGACCTCGAGCGGGAACAGGCGCGACAACCCAAAGTCTGCAACTTTGACATGAAAGCTGTTGTCAAGCAATATGTTGGTTGTCTTCACATCCCGATGTATGATCTCGACTGCATGGAGGTAGGCCAGTGCTTCAGCTGTTTCTATGGCAATGTTCAGTCTTAGAGGCCACGTGAGGCCTCGTTCCGCCGAGCGAGATCCGTGAAGATGGTCTGCGACAGTCCCATTTGCGATGAACTCGTACACCAGGAGAAGGTCACGGCTCATTCGCGACGTGCAGCCATATAGGATGACCAGGTTCTGGTGGAGCAGGCGGGACAGGATGTCGACCTCATTCAGGAACTGCTCAACCCGTCTGTAGTTGTTCTTGTAAAGGCGTTTCACCGCAACTACTCTCCCATCCTTGAGTTTTCCTGAATGATAAAATACAGTTGAGAACAGAGCTCCTACCATCTGCAATTTGCGTATATGATTGACAAAAATGACAAGCAACGAGTTTGGCAAACATGTGTTTTACCTTTATAAACAGTTCCAAAGCCACCATCACCAAGCTCCCTTGAAGCACTAAATCCATCAGTAGCCACTTCGAGTTCCTCGAAAGTGAAGATATGAGGAGAACCACCCAGCTCAAGGTCTTTACTGTATGTCGTCATTGAAGATCCACTTCGCATGAACTCATTTGAAGCTATAGCTTGTTTCTTCTTCTTTCGTTGGTGCAAGACAAAGAAGACGAACAGAAAGATTGCACCAGCACCGAGTACTGCTCCAACTGTCCACGACAACAATATAACATATTAGCAACATGAAGCAAGTAAGCAGCCAAGGGATCTGACTAATTCTGCATCATGAGATTTCACCCCCTTATTCTGGTACAATATGGAGCACAGGAAATAAGAACCGAAGGAAGCTTGAGAGTTGATTAACACTCACCTATTATGAAAATTGTTTTTATCCTTGTACTCCCCCCTGCATAAGAAGAGTCTGTAAAATATCTATACGGTTTATGAAGAAACAAACAAGAAGTATGAGTAGTAAGTTGACAAATGAAGAAGAATTTTAACTAGGATAAGTGTGCCAGCTTTTACATAAAGTTGAACTCCCTTTGTGACTGGTTAATGAGGAAAATACAGCAACAGCTGAATTTCAGATTCTCAATTGAAGGTGACAACATATATGAAGAAAAAATTCATAGAAGCCACAATCATGACATTTAGAGAGTGAATGTGTGCCCTATTTCGTTCTTTTGGTCCTTCCTCTTCTGCACTCCTTAAGCAGTGCAACACTCAAGTACTCAACCTTCAGTGACTTAAGCAGTGCATCTCTAAGTACCCACTTAAACTAACCACAGCGCCCAATTCAACTTTACACCCCTAACTAATTCAACAACGAACAGTTGCAATAACATTGACTTCCACGCGTTTGAAACACGGACCAGGGCACAGAAAAATAAGCGCATCGATCGGCAATTACGGGGAATAGTCTGTTTGGAACCGTCCTTCCTCTTCTTTGTTGAATAGAGTTTTTGACTAATTCAACAAATGCATTTGACTAGGAATCCATAGGCTCCAATCATCCAACGTCTCAATCAATGGGCTAACTTCATCACTAACTACCAAAAACAAAATAATAGTCTGCAGGAGCTCCAAGAAACCAAGCAAGCACTCAAGAGTTGAGAAAACAACAATCAGCATTCTATGTTCCTCCTAGCAACAGCGACGTAAAACGCAGTGAATCTCTTGTTGACAGCGATTCAATGTCAGATAGCAGTATCAAAATTGCTAACTACGTCAGGCATTTTTGGAGACACTGAATCGGTCGCTAGCACTTGAAATTTTGAGGGGATTAGCTTGATCAAAGAACTAGTTATTGACTAGGGAAATTCATGGTGGCGCTGTCAGTTAATTTTCCTCAACTCACCGCACTTCTCAGGGTACACGCCGCCGGAGCAATGGCAGGAAAACCCGGTGCCGTTGTTGGCATACCTGCACTGCCCGCCGCTTGCCTCGCACTTGGGGCAATCGTCCGACGGCACCGTCCACTGAAGCAGGAACCCTCGTCTCATGCTCCGGACGTAGTCGTCGCCCGCCGGAAAACCAAGAACTGGCACAACGGAGAGACGGCAGGCCGGCGGGACAACCCCTGATTCCCGGTGGCTGCCGTACTCCCCGCCAAGGCGGAAGAAGGACTCGCTGGCGCAACGAGTGCGGTTGAATCCCGGCGGCGTCGCCTCCTTGGTGCAGTTGTCGAGGACGAGCAGCTCCTTGTTCCTCTTGCTGATGACGAACGGGCTCAGCCCGAGACCCAGCGAAATGTTGAACCAGAACTTGGGGCAGCCGTCGTCGAGCGGGAGGTTCTTGTCGACGGCGAGGAAGGAGGAGTTCTCGGCGAAGACTTGAACGACCTGGTAGGCCCCGAGTATGGAGCGGCTGAGGAGAGCTTGGCTGCCGTTGCAGTTCAGCTGGAACGACGGGGACCCGCACGGCGGCCGGCCGGGCTCCTCCAGCCAGAACGGGTAACTGATGTTCAGGTCGCCGCATTTCTTGGGCGAGCAGGCCGCTGCGGCCGGCGCAGGCAGCCGGAGAAAGGAAGCGACCGACTGACCGGAGCGGGAGAGGACTAGTTAACGGGACAGAATGGAGGGTGGGATGTGCGACTTGGGGAAGAAGGACGGTGGCCAGAGCGGCTTGACCGGTCAGAGTCAATGCTCTATTTCTTTTCCATTTCCGTTTTTTTAATCAGTTTCCCTTAGATTTCGGGGATGCCGTTGGACAGCGGCAATGCCGCGGCGACGGCGAGGAGCGCCCGCCATGGCCCGCCACGGCGACGGCGACGGCTTGCCAACCCGCCATTAATTTTGCATGGCCCGCTAGAGAAGGGAAGCTGAGGCCAAATTGTTTGTTTCCTAGGAACTCGATAGAAAAAGATTAATTCAACGACTGAACTCACCACTACCGGCACTCGGCGTCAGCGGCCGCCATGTGAGGAGGAATCCATCGCTGATGAGCTCTATGTAGTGGCTGGCATTCACCTTCCCAGTCGCCCCAAGCACCGGCACGGCGGTGACGTTGCAGCCCGGCAAATCGTAGCTGCCGGCGATCACGCCCGTCGCGTTGTAACGCCCTCCTGCGCGGACAAAGGTGTTGTTCCGGCACACCGTCGCCGCCAGCCCCGCTCGGTGCACCGTCTCCAGCGACGGTGCCCTGGTGCAGTTGTAGAAGATGAGGTTCCGGTTGAGGCTGCTGATGGAGAAGGGAGGCCCGGTTTTGGTGGCGGTGTTGGCCTTGGGTACGTGGCATCCTTTCTCGCCGGAGTGATTGAAGTCGCCGAGCTTGTGGACGTCGGAGACGAGCAAGGAACTATTGTTGTAGAATATGTTGAGGATCTGCAGACCGAACCCGCGCTCGTAGTACCCGAGGTAGGGGACGTCGTCGGTGCAGTGGACCTGGAACCCGGACTGCGCGCACCGGTTCTCCTCAGAGCCCGAGACGATCCCGAACGGGGGCGAGACGCTCACGTTGCCGCATCGCTCCGGCTCGCAGGCCGCAGCCGCGACGAGCATCCGTGCCGGCATCGTGGAAGCGGCGATGACGACGGCGGAGACGAGGAGGCACGGCCCCAGCCGCCATGGGAACATGCGAGAGAGGATGATTCTGGTAGATGGCTGAGGTGAGTAGCAGGATAGTAATTCTTTGGGCACAAGGTGGATATGGAGGAGGATATAGAATTCTATCAACTGAGATACTCATCGTACTACCTACTACGTATATGGACATCCACCCGGGAGGGGGGTCAGTGAGTGATCAGCCGGAACATTTGACCGGTGCAACCAGCGTGCACACACGCGCATTTCAGCCATCCCCGGTCGTGGTCGAGCAGTGATGCGACTAGACCGGATAAGGAAGATGCGAGCCCGGGGTCGTGGATCGTGTCGATCGGCTGCGGCTAGTGCACGCTCTTGTCGGCCATGGACCCATGGGTGTGAGCTAGCTGGATACTTGCGTGAGGACTGGTAACAGTACGTGGTCGTACACGTGAACCGGTGGAATGTAAGCGCATACTAGTAAACCTTTGAATGTAAGCGCATAACAGTTTTGACACGAATTTTCCACACAATGGCCTACGTGTGCTCGTTACCAGATTGCAGCATATATACTAAGATAATGTCTAGCATGCTTTTCAAAATACCCGCTTTTATGTTCCGTCTTGCTACTTATTGTAAGACTACTAGACTGAAGCCGCGCCACCTGGAAGCTTGTGTTTACCTTCTCTGAATCTAGTTCGATGGAGGCTGCGTCCTCTCTTATTTGGTCGTCTGTGACCTGTTGCTTATGTCTTAGACTCGTTTAAAGATTATGCCTGGGTCTCTTCTGATGAAGTAGGTTTGTGGGATTGTTAGTTTTTAACTGAATCTGGTGATGGTTTGTGAGCCCCCTTGGCTATGGTCAAGTGGGCGCACGTACTGGGCGAGAGCAGGAAGGTGGAAGTGCCGCGCTGGCCACATCCATCCATCCGACACAACTGGGCACCACGACTACGTACGGGTCCACGGCCTTATCCTCAAATAAGGCATGATTGATAGCTTGGTTCGACGAGGCAAATCCAAGCAAAGATGCAGCACGTACTACCGTAGCCACACGAACTTGGTTAAAAGATGATTTGGCTACTCAACTTACGTGGAGGTGCAGGTGCAGGCGGCAGACCCCATGTCAAGAGGAAGCCATCCCTGACGAGCGCCGCTCGTAGTCGCTCGCGTTCACCTCGCCGGACCACGAGCCCAGCACCGGCAGGACAGCGGCGGCGCAGCCTTGCACAGCATGGCCGCCGTAGCCGCCCGTCTCGCTGTAACGCCCTCCAGCGCGGACGAACACCTTGCTCCCGTTCCTGGCACCAGCTCTCTCCGCCGACGTGCGCCCAGAGCCGCTGCTCCAGCCGCCTTCTCCGTGCAGTTGTACAAGATGGGGTCCAGGTTGACGGGGGCGATCCTGAACTGGACGCCGAGTTTGGCGGAGGTGTTCTGAATCGGCAGGCAGCCGTTGGACAACAGTTCCAGCTTGCCCCGATCAACGACATGCAAGCTGCGTTCCTCGTACTTGATATCCATGATTGCAAAGCCGTGCCCCAAGAGAACAGAGCTCTGGAGAACTGGAGTGAACGATATATGGGGACGGACGGCGAGTGAGCGGACAACAGCATTTGATTGGAAGATTGGGACAAATGATCGTCGTCCACAAAATATAATGAACACAGTGATGTGAGCCATGACTTATCAAATTTCGGGGTTCCCCTTTGACGAGGTAAGCCATGATCATGACCTCTTTTGAACCAGTGATGTGACTAGAACCAGGATCTTTTCGGTATCTCTACTTCATGCGCTCGTCGGCTATCTGGCCAGATTATAATCCTGGTACAACCTTCACACTTCGCAGGATACTGGTTTTTTTAGGGATGACAGATCCAGTATAAAAGAAGGTTCTATAGCCTGATCCGTCACTAGGTTGCAATTTTTTTTTCTTTTGAAATTGCATGCAAATTTCTAATTTTGTAAAGGTTTCCTGGCGTGCTGCAATTCGGCTGGAAATTGCAAAAAATAAACATAAGCCTATAAGTCCATATGTCTATTTCTGACTTGGGCCCTTACTGGATTATACACTTAACAAGTGAACGAAGCTAATTTTGGCCATAGTGCAGACTTCAGAAGTTCAGAGTTCAGACTAAGCAAAAGACACTTATGGTGTACCCACTTCCACTTGCTAATAAACGTCTAATGATGCACACATCTACTGTACAGGATTCCATGCCAACATGCAGCCAAGATATAGTATGCAGTGTGCAGTGATCTAGAAAATATCTGGAAAATAGACTACGCAAAAGGCAGGCAGAACATCCGCGACGATCAACTCAACCTTATCCTCCTTAGGTGACATGATTTATTGCTTGGTTCGATACGGGAAAATCCAAGCAAATTAGGCACTGCACGTCCTAGCTCACCTACGAACTTGACTACAAGATGATTTACGAGTGAACTTACGTGGCCGTTCCCATGTCAGAAGGAAGCCATCGCGAATGAGCCCCTCATAGTCACTTGCGTTCGCCCCTGCAGATGAGCCCGGCACCGGCACGACGATAGCAGCACAGCCCTCCAAAGCGTAGCTGGCGTAGTGTCCGCTCGGGTCATGAGGTACTCCCACGCGGACAAGCACCTCCCACTTGTTCTCGCACCTCATTCTGGTATGCACCAGGCCTCTGTCCTGACGTGCCAAGGCTCCCGCCGCCGCCTCCTCCGTGCAGTTGTAGAGGATGAGGTTCAGGTTGACGGGATCGATCCTAAACAGATGGTTCAGCTTGCTTGAGGTGTTATAGAACGGGAACGGCGGACGGCAGCTGTTGTTGGCATGCAACACGTCCAGCTTGCCCAGATCAATGGCATACAAGCTGTGTTCCTCGTAAGAGATGTTGAGGATTTTGAAGCCGTTGTTGAAGGGTATAGAGCTCCGTAGACTGCTGATGGTACCATTGCAGGTGACCTCGAAATCCAAGGAACCGCATGGTCTCTCAAGCTCTTTCGTCGCGAGCCAGAACGGATCAGAGATGCTGACGTTGCCGCACTTCTTGGCCGAGCAGTCTCTCCGCTGCTGGTCCTCAGCCACCACGAGCATCAGTGGCAGCCACCACACCGCGACGAAGACCAAGAACCAGCAGCAGCTGGGAGACATCGGAGCACAAATATTGGGAGAGATTATGGTGAACAGCAGAGGTGGGTGGCTGGATTCGGTGGACATGGGCTATTGGGAAGGTAGAGACTACACGTAAGAGAGAATACAGTGGTCGAAGCTTGAACCACATATATGCATGGGGACGGCGAACGAGCGGACTAGTATTGAACATTTGACTGGAAATTCTTGCCAAGAGATCATTGTCCAGGAAGTTTCCCAATGGAGACCCCATGGACTAGTAAGCCATGACTTATCAAATCTGCAGTTAAGGTATGCCATGACCCCATGACCTTGGTTTGCCCGCGAAGTGACTGCTGAAAACCTGGAACCAGGACCAGGATATTTTGTGCTCTTGCTTAGACGTTTATGTAATTTAATAAAAAATATCGTCAGTGGTGCACATCTCTCTTAACAAATTTTTTTGCCGTGGTGCAGAGTTGAGGAGTTCAGAGTTCAGTCACCGTGGGACAAGGCAGAAGTTCTGGCAGTAGACTTTGTTCTGAACCCAAAAGTACTAACATGATTGTTGCTTGGTTTGATTAGGGAAATCCTGGCAAATTATGCACTGTGGCTAGCCGAACCAGATTAAAAGATGATTTGACGGGTGAACTTACGTGCAGGCCGAGGAGCTTCATCCCATGTCAATAGGAAGCCATCCTTGATGAGCTCCTCGTACTGGCTCGCGTTTGTCTCGCCGGACGGCAAGCCCAGCACCGGCAAGACGATTGGAGTGCAGCCCTCCAAAGCATAACTGGAGTATTTCCCGGTGGGGTCGTGTGGTACTCCTGCGCGAACAAACGTGTTGCTCGTGTTCACGCACCTCATCGTCTTCGCCAGCACCAGTTCATTTCCCCGGCGTGCCGCAGCAGCCGCCGTGCAGTTGTACAAGATGAGTTCCAGGTTGACGGGGCCGATCTTAAACGGGGGTGCCAGTTTGACAGAGGTGTTCCAGATCGGAGCGCAGTGGTTGAAGATCTTGGGCGGGTCGTGTAATAGTTGCAGCTTGCCCAGATCAATGACGTGCAAGCTGCGTTTCCCGTAGGAGATATTGAGGATTGCAAAGCCAGGGGTGAAGCGCACGGAGCTCGGTAAAAATGGATAACTGTTGTTAAGGCATGTAAGCTGGAAGTCCGGCGATCCAGGCGGACCACATGATCTTCCCGTCTCCAAGTCAGTGAACCAGAATGGATTTGAGATCCTAACGTCGCCGCACTTGGCCGAGCAGACTTCTCCTTGCTGCTCCTGAGCCTCCACGAGCACCAGTGGCAGCCACCAAACCCAGATTAAGGTGAGGAACCAGGAACTCGGAGCCATCGGAGTAGAAGGGATTTGGAAAGATTGCAGCGAGCAATGCCAAAGGGGGTTGTGGTGGTCGGTTACACGTAAGAGAGAAATACCGTGGTCGAAGCACCATCAATATAAGGGGACGGCAAGCCAGCGGAGTACTGTTAGCCGGAACATTTGACTGGAAAGTTTCTCCAAGCGATCGTCCTCCACGAAATTCCCCAATTGACTGACCCCTTAGACCGGAAAGCCATGACCTCTAAAACCTGAGGCCTTGAGAGTTACCCCCCTTGGTCTGTAAGCCATGACCAAGACCTGAGCGACCCGTGATGTGACTTGAACCAGGATGCTTGTTAGGTACGCTGGGTCTGTCGGTTCCGGGCACTTCATGCTCTTGTTCTACGGCATTCACACTTGACAGGCAGTAACTATCCGTACACTGATTGGCTATTGGGGTTGCGCATTGTAGAAATTGAGTGCAATTTTCCTGTCTTTGCAGGGGAGACGTCTGTTCAAACCTAGAGTTCACACATTTTACTTTGCGTCATTTTAGCTTTTGTACCATGCGACTAGTGGTTTCTCCAAGGACTTGAAAGCATCAAAACCATTTCTGAACTAATTCTTTACGCCGTCTTTTTAATATTGTTTTTTTTAAGCAGCAAGTCTTCTCATCGATTTTAATTACAGAAACCGCTACAACTTTTTAAACCCGTTAAGAAACAAACTATCCAGTGAAACGGGCCTCAAATAAAACTCAAAGATGACACTCGAATAAAACTACGAGCGAGGATGCGGGTTTATGTATCTGCCCAGGTGGCCCACAACTAAGGGGCTCGGACCCAAAACAAGGTTTGCAGGCTACGCTGACAAACCCTATTTGACGCCCATTAACATGTCAGCATAACACAAAAGAGGACGCATAATTGGATCGAGCACATCTCCTGGTTTGGTCAGTTTTATGTTTCGTTCTTTTCTTTTCTTTTTATTGGAATTTTCTCTAGTTTTCTATTTTTATGCTTCCCTTTTTTTAGGTGGCTTTTTATTTTTTCTAATTTTCCTTTCTGTATCAGTTTTATATTTATTTTTATAAATCTTTCCTCTTTTGATTATTTTTATTTAGTTCATTAAAAATTATGTAAATTCGTTAAACATCTGAATATAATTATCTGTGCATGTGAAAAAATAAAATATGTGGTGAACATTTTATTTCACATATACGATTTTAAAAATTCCATGGATTTTTTATACATGAATATAATTGTTTGTATGAATGAACATTTCTTTCATTTCCCTCAATCTCTTGTGCACTTTTTAAAGCTGATATTTTCACAACATTTTAAAATCTTACTAAGCAAAATTCATTTTTTGCAAAAAAAAAAGACACGGGCTAACATAGGTTGTGGCAACAGCTGGCCCAAAATAGCTGCACGTGGTCGTTTGTCCACCTATTTGACGCCTAAGGACTCCGCTACGCCAGTTGTGGGCCAACGCAGCGTAATCCAACCAATCCAAAAGTTCCAAAAAAATTGATACGTTGTCTGAAGCTGAAAGTGCGACTTTGTCTCAAAAAAAAAAGTGTGACTGGTCTATGACTGGATAACTGAACAAGTGTGTGATGCCAATTTATGCTGTATATATGGCCGACTTCAGGAGTTCAGTTCAGACTAACTAGGGCCTGTTTGATTCACTGGATTTCTAAAATATCAACTTCATCCTAATCCTCGGCTAATGTCATGTTCGATTGTTTGATCGATTATGGAATCCATGAAAGTTACGTAGGCACTCCACGTCCTAGCTTAGCTACAAACTTGATTAAAAGATGATTTGGCCGGTGAACTTACGTGCAGGGGGTGGATCCCATGTCAGGAGGAAACCATCGCTGATGAGCTGCTCGTAGTCACTCGCGTTGGCCCCGCCTGACGAGCCCATCATCGGCACGAGGAGAGCATCACAGCCCTCCAAGGCGTAGCCTCCATAGTTCCCGGTGGCATCGTAGCGCACTCCCGCGCGGACATAAGTGTTCCTCCCGTTCCCACATCTCACCTCCGCCAGTGACACGTCCGGACGCGCCACCGTCTTGGTGCAGTTGTAGAAGATGAGGTTCAGGTTGGCGGGGTCAACCTTAAACGGCAGTGCCAGCTTGCTGGAGGTGTTCCACTTTGGGAAATGGCAGCTGCTGTTGGAGACGTTGAAGTCTCTCTCTTTATGTGCATCAACCACGCGCAAACTGCATTCCTCATAGGAGATGTCCATGATCGCAAAGCCACTGGATCCAGAGCTCCGGAGAATTGGGGTGCCGTTGAAGCAACCGACCTCAAAATCCAAAGGACCACACGATCGTCCCGTCTCCAATTGGGACAGCCAGAACGGTTGGGAGATGGTGAGGATGCCGCACATCTTGGCCGATCCCGAGCAGCCTTCCCCATGCTGCTCCTCGGCCCCAGCGACCGTCAGTGGCAGCCACCATACTACCAAGACGAACACCAAGAACCAGCAGCTAGTGGTAGCCATAGGAACAGAAGAAGATTTGGCCGTGGGGCGGTGGAGAAATGTGTATGAGAGGATATCGTGGTTGAAGAAAGATATATGTGGAGGAATCCTATGGTGGTACGAACAAATGACTGGAAAATCGGGGCTAAGCTATCGTCATCCACAAATTCCCTCAACCACCGCTTGGACTTGTAGGCCATGGTTTCTGAATTTCCAATCCTAACACCATTGACGGGTAAGCCATCATCATGACCTTTGTGTGCCCGTGATGTGACATGAACCTGGATGCTTATAGGTTGGCTGGTTCCGTACCGGCTACTTCATGCTTTTGTCAGCTATCTAAGTACAAGATTCCTTCGTCGAGAAAGTTTTAGATGCCAGACTCTAATATTTATTCAACATTCAGACTTGACAGGTAATGTTATGTCAGTATCCAATGAAAAAGATGATCATTTGTCGGGTTATTGGGTTGTGCATTTTAAAAACTCCGTGCAAATTTTAGTCCAGACGGAGATTAATTTATCGTCGACCAAAAATACATATTAAGCACTTGTCTTTCAAGTACGTCTTGTTCATGGATTCTTGGGTCGGGATAGGTTTGTACAGAGATCACATTCTACAGGGAAAAGAAAAACGATTCTCCATCTCAGGCGAGGTCATGCACGGAGTGCACCTGTTATGTGCTAGGAGCGGCGCAGCCTTTCCAGAGTTAAGGGGAGTAAACCGAGGGTGCGTCTCACAAATTAGCGGCGAGTAACCTCGCTGGAGTTGGGTGGAGCACAGAGATCAATGGTGCCTGACAGAAACACTACAGTATGCTGGAGGTTGCTTGCCAACGAGCACGAGAACAAAACGAGATGAGATGCAGAAGGGGAGACAGTGGCATGTTGCATCTCAGCCACTTGGCGGAGCCAGGATTGGCTGAAAAACTAAGGGCCAAAAAACCCCAGTTTCAAGGCATGTTTTCAGTTCTTGGTAGCTTAAGCAGGAAACAATAAAAGCAAAGTGTCGCTTTTTTTCCAATGCTATATTCGAACCAGCCGCGATGATCCTTATACCAATAATGAATATCACTGGGCTTGAGTTAGGCTGTAATGCAATTATCGGTTGTTTGAGTTGAAGGATCCCTTTCCGTGGATCCGGGGGTTTGAACTTGAAAATAAGATGGCATTATTTTGTTTCTTTATTCATCTTATTATCTTCATGTAAAATTGTAAGATTATATAGAAACAAAAATTACTAAATGTCTAAATCGGTTTCCATATTTATGTTGGAAAGGGGGAAGCACTAATAAGAACTAAATATCATCATCGTTTATCAAACCAATGGCATCTGGCAAGAAATATTGAGATTTGGAAGAACTGAGATGGCAGTTTTGTGGGATGGCCGGATGGGGCAATACCTCCGTGCAACGGCGGAGCTGGGCCGCTGAGGCGAAAGAACGAAGGGACCTGGGTGGGTTGCTCCTGGCCTCCTGCGGTCCTGCCTCCTGGCAAAGGCCGCCTCGCCGGGCGGCCTGCCGCCTGTCCGGGGTCGCCGCCTCGCCGAACATGGCCGCACGAGCACGACGGCGGGCGGCGGCGGCCTGGCCGGCAGGGTAGGGTTCGTCCAAGGAGCGGTTTGTTTGAGCTTCTCGATCGCTAGGCGGTATTGGGCCAGCCTTCACAGACCTCTGGCCCAGCTAGAGGGTTAAGAATGGGCTGTGCCCCAGGCCTATCTTTTTTTTAAATATGGGCTGTAAATTTTTCTGCGGCCCAACCCATTCCCTAGGCTTCCTGGGGCCCAGCTCCATGGCAGTGAGACATTCATTAGCAGGCAAGAAAAAAAAGACTAGCTCTTCCACAGCAACGACAGTGAGCCCCAGTGGCCAGTGGCGGAGCCAGGAAGATGAAATGAGGAGGGCCGAAAGCTATTAAGCTTTGTTAGGGAAGGCCAACACATCAAGGTACACCATTTTAACAGCAGATAATTACTTGCTCACATGCATATTAGGCTTAAATGACGGATGTTAGGGGGGGCCAGGGCCCCTGCTGGTCCCCCCCTGTCTCCGCCACTGCCAGTGGCTCCCTCTCCTCCAACACAAGGTCGGCACCGCATCTCCTCCGCAGTCCACGGCGCGGCTCTCCTACACGCCAGCACGACGCTAGCTTTCCCCCGCATCGGCCGCTCGACGCCGATCTAGCGGGATAAGCGCCGACAACTAAGGTTAAAGCTAGACCCATTTTCCTCTCTTTCTTCCTCCTAGGGAGAGACAGGTCCACATCGTGTTGGTTTGTATATCGAACGAGGTAGCAATACCAAAATCGGGCCAACAAAATGTAATCTTAACTGACAGCTAATTAGTATGACTACTAAAAACTAATGAAATGCTAAAAATCTGATGTCATATTTTTAAGCATGGCAAATAAAATGTTTTATGACATTGCCATGGTTGCTAAAGAGAATTGCCTGGCTCGTGACACGTAATTTTCCATATAACATGTTTGATTTGCCATTGTTAAAAGTCAGACATCAGATTTGTAGCGTGATCCAAACTAATTAGCAGGAAAAGAAAAAAAACCTTTTTTATGTTTTAACTCCACGTAAATTTATTTCTTGATAGGGGAGAAGGCCATTTCAAACATAGAGATCATATATTTGTTGTACATTATTAGCTTTTGTAACGTGCTACTTGGCTGAGTTAGAGACTACAAATTCTCCAAGAACATGTCTTTTATGGCTTAAATCTTGTTATTCAAATAGGTAATAGAAAATTCATAGAATCTAAATGCTAACATATTTTATTCAATAAAAATAAAATATATTAATGGTTGAGATTATTTTTTGTTTTGATATTGTTCTTAAGCTATGGGCGGAAGCTAGTTGTGGTCCCTTTGCTTTATATAGTAGCTATTGTTATTAGTTTCTGGTTGCTGCACCGGATTTGTTAGGTGTGTTGTAGTTTTTGTGCTTGTTCATTTCAAAGTCCTAACCAGTCGGTCGTTTGGCCGGCTGAACCCTCTCATGTTCTTAATATATTACATGCAGTTCTTCTGCATGGATCAAAAGAGAAATATGGAGCTAATGTCAAAGAAAATATTCTCACCAGATGGCCAATAGCCCAATACCCATCATTGTGGGCCAAATAGATGTAATTCAGTCCAAAAAATATAAATATAGGCCCAATAGGTCGTATGTCTGAAAGTCTATCGACGACTAGGCTCTAACTGGACTGAACAAGTTCCTCAAAAAAAAATCTGGACTGAACAAGTGCATGATGCTAATTTCGGCCGCAGTGCTGACCTCAGAAGTTTCGAACTTTTTTTTTATTTTTTCTCAAGAATATGTCAACGACGTACCATATTTTTATAGAAGAGAGCAAGACAATTTATAAGAAGATATGGCCGATGGGAACAAAAGCTTGATCCAACACCAACACCCACACCTACAAACAACATAAGGCTATTCTCTCACTAATCGATCTAAACCTCCGCTCCTGCCTTCTTCCAGTCTTCAATTTAAAGTTTTTTTGCTTTTTTAGACTTGGAAGATTGAGAGTTCAGAAGCCATTTGTTTTTTTAAGGATTTTTCTTTTTTGAGGGAACAGAAGCCACCACTTGTCGTATACCCACTTTCCACTTGTCCAATGATGCACGCGTCTACGTACCTACTACTACTTTTTTCTAGATATAAGTACACGTAGCTACTGACCGCACTGGTTTACGCGTATCTTCTGCCAAGTACACTGCACATAGTACTCTATTCTGTCAACAGGCAGCAAAGTACTACACGAATCATCCCTCACTGTGCTCCCAACGAGAGTACTCTGCCTACCTTGGAAGGGAGAAAGGAGACGACCGCACGCGTTTACGGGGCGATCTCTCGTGCCGGCCCCGAGGTCAACCGAGCACAGCAATCCACCAGTCAGCCCTCAATGGCGCCGCCACCAAACGATGTACTCAGCGAAAGCCAAAGGTGAAATCTCCATGGGGCCCTACCGAAGATCGGGACGGCGCTGGCTGGCGACGACAATACGCCACCATGCGGCGGAAATGCAGCGGACCAGGGAGGAAGACCAGACTAATAATCAAACGCGCATGTGCCGATATGGCTATCCTATCCGCGTCTGATTGGTACAGTAGAGTAGAGAGGCAAATGGCGGCGTGGGAACTCACCGGCGCATGTCGGCCCGCGCAGCTTCCCGCCGGGGCAGAGGCACGCGAGCGCCGCGGTCGCGCCGCGGTACCGGCACTGGCCCCCGCTCGCGGCGCAGGCGGGGCAGTCGCCGATGCCGATGCCGGCGCCCGCCCAGTCCAGGAGGAACCCGGCCTGCAGCAGCCGGGTGTAGTCCGCCGCCGTGGAGACCCCCGCCTCCGAGCCGAGCACCGGGAGGTAGGTGTACGTGCAGTTCCCGGTAGGGATCGCCGGGGGCGTGTCCCGAACGAAGCTCCCGCCCAGGTAGGCGACGATGGGCCTACTGCAGCCCGCGGTGGCGTTCGCGTACTCGCGCCCGCGCGGCTCCGTCCCGTTGCAGTTGTAGAGGAAGCACAGGGCACGGTTGCTGGGGCTGATCTTGAACGGGCTGAGGGCGAGGCTGGACGAGACGTTGAAGTCGGCGAGGCACGCGCCGTCGGTGCCCGCGGCGATCCTGTTGTGGACGACGAGGAAGGAGCTGGTGGCGTAGTCGATGCTGTGGACGTGGATGGGGGAGCCGCTCATGGCGGCCGTGGTGTTGCCGCCGATGCACCAGAGCTCGAAGGCCGGGTGGCCGCAGGAGGGCTCCGACGGGGGGTGGCCGGGCGCGCCGAGCCAGAACGGGTACTTGATGGTGAAGTTCCCGCAGGCCACCGGCTCGCACTCGGCGGCGCCCACCACATGGACACGGTGAAGGAGGAAGACGAGGAGGAACGATGCCAAGAACGGCAGGCTGACCACAGGCATGGAAGCCATCTAGATTTCTAGAGAGGATGGTGTGTGCTGCTGCATGCGTGTCTCTGGTTATGATGCGCGAGAAAATGGAGTCTTAATTTGGTGGGAGGATGTAGAAGCTAGCTAGGTGGACGAAAGGGGAAATGCCAAATGCCAATGGTGTGTGGCTTTGTTTGACCGCTCTTTTTCTATACCTTGGACTTTCTTTTATCAGCACGAGTGGGAAACCGGTGCGCCTCTGACTTTTGAGGGCCGGTCTCTGGTGAGAGTGGAAAGGAAAGCTACGGTTTGTGGTTCTAATTATTGTATTATTTTGAACTACTTCTACATATTGATTGTGAGCTGCATATGTGGTTCTGAATTTGTGATTGGGATGTTTATGTTGCCGGTAATTTAGTTCCGGGGTTATGTCATATGTGCCGGCCTGCCGCATATGTGGACAACTCCTCGATCATGTGACTGTGTGATGAGTTATTACTAGTAAAAGGTTGGTGATGTTTGTGATAGGAGGAAGGTAGAAGAAGTCATGGATTAGTTTGTAGGTGGATGGGACTACCTTATCCCAACAGCATCACATCATTAGAAATATGGGGCCTGACAAGCTAGATAAAATCAAATTGAAAGTGTTTTAAAAATCATAGTTAAAGTTTATTGTTTTGGTAGCAGCTAAAGCTTATTGATCTACCAAACGACAAGCGACTATGTTTTGTTCCAATTTCGGCCAATTTCACAAATTTTCGGCGAGTTCTCGGTAAAATTTCCAGAATTTTGTCATTGAGGGTCGTAGAAGTCAAATTTCTAAATAGTTTTTTCACATTTGGGAAAAACAAAATTCACCCAAAAACAAAATCATAAACCTTGACAAACAGCTGATTGTGCTCGACACCTACCTTTGTTGTTAGTAACATCTTGACTGGCTGTATTTGAACACCTTTGCTCAAGAAAGTTCTCTGAGTTCAACGCAAAAATAAGTACTATGTCTTAGAAGGGAAAAAGGGAGAAAAGGGACGACCCCCACACAATGGAACCACGCCACCATCGGGGCCCGGGCTACTTGTAAGGATTGCAACTATAGTACCCAACTATATCACTCAATCGAAGGATTTCAAGGTCACGATATGGAGCATGGCCTAGCCTAGTACTATATTCTCCTCTAAACTCGCAACCTTGCCGGTCAATCTCTAATCTCTTGTGTCGGTGTCGATGTCAATGACCATAATCATCTACCCAATGCCAACCCAATTATGTTGGGAGAATATCGCCTGCATGTGAATATCGGGACAACACTGGCTGGTTATAGTGTGTTTGCTACGTATCGCTCATAGTGAAGGATATAGTATGTTTTCTATATATCACGCATAGCGAAGGATATAGTGCATCTGCTACAAATTGCGTGCTCCTGCACTTCTCTGCGCTTAGATTTTCCTTGCCTAATATATGTTAGGAGAAATTTTGTTTGATTTATTTTCCGATGTTCTATAAGAGAGCCTACATAGCAGTAATTGCTCCTGGTTTTCCCGCTGTGGTCCTTTTTTCTCCATTAGTTTCTTCCCTTTTCTTTTGTGTTTTCCTTTTTATTTTTATTTTTAAAATTCATGTTTTAAAAACATAACAAAAAACACTTTTTAATTCCTAAAATTTTAAGTCTGTTAACAATTTTCCAGTTAAATATTTTTACATTATTTTAAAAAAATCTATTTTAGATAATAATGAAATTATTTCAAATTCGTGAAAAAATTGAAAATTAGCGATTTTTTGTTCTATGAGAATTATTTAAAGTGCATGGAAATTCATAAAAATATTTGGGCATTACTAAATTTTGTAATTATTTTTTAAATCTTTGTTTTTTTCTCAAAAGTGCTAACATTTTTTAAGTTTTCTAATTATTTTCTAAAAAGTCGTGAACATTTTTTTCAAAATACTTGAATATTATGTGTACCAAATCCTTGCATATTCATGAATTCACGAATATTTTCTAATCTGGCAAAAAAAATTGGGCAAAAGAAAACCGCCAGCCTGTTTTTCTCTAAGCCACATCTGCGGGGTTTTTTGAAGGTCAAATGAGAAAAACGACGTGTACTCGAGCTAGTTTTTTGTTTTTGGAGAAGAGTGTACTTAGGTCTCGAGCTAGTTGAGCGACTTAAATAAGGCTATTGGGCTGCAGCCCACATATCCAGCTTGGGTGATTAACGGTGGTATGCCGCGAAAGTGCAGAACAAATGAAAGACAAACAAAGCATGTGCGTGCCGATATACAGGCAAGCTGGCAGCGTTGCATGTCGTGCTTACCGGCGCATGTGGAGCCGCGCAGCTCCCCGTTGCCGGGGCAGAGGCACCCGAACGCCGCGGTGGCGTTGCTGTACCGGCACCGCCCGCCGCTCGCGCCGCAGGCCGCGCAGTCGCCAAAGCCGACGCCCGCCCACTGCAGCTGGAACCCGGCCTTGAGAAGCCGGGCGTAGTCGGCAGCCGTCGTGGCCGGCCGCGCCGCCGCCTCGGTCGCGAGCGCCGGCAGGTACGAGTAGGTGCAGCTCGCCGGGATCGGGATCGGGGGCAGCGTGTCCCGGTCGTAGACCCCGCCGAGGCACGCGTAGGCAGGTCTACCGCAGCCGGCGGTGGCGTTCACGAAGCCGCGCCCGATCGGCTCCGTCCCGTTGCAGTCGTGCAGGAAATAGATGGCGCGGCTGCCTGGGCTGACCCTGAAGGGGCTGAGGGCTAGGCTGGAGGACACGTTGAAGTCGGCGCGGCACACGGCGGCGTCGCCGGCGCCGGCGGCCAGCCTGCTGTCGGAGGCGACCAAGGTGTTGCGGGCGTAGTCGATGCTGAGGACCTGGATGGCGGAGCTCCTCATGGAGGCCGTGAATGCGCTGCCGTGGCCGCCGCTGCACCAGAGCTGGAGAGCAGGGTGGCCGCAGGAGGGCTCCGGCGTGGGGCGGCCGGGGGCGCCCAGCCAGAAGGGGTACTGGATGGTGAGGTTCCCGCACGCCGCCGGCTCGCACTCGGCGTCCACCGCCGCATGGTGAAGGAGCAAGGAGGAGGACAGCAGTAGCGGGAGGATGAGCACAGCCGGAGGCATCATTCAAGCGCGCTTCTAGGCTAGCTTGTCAATGCCGGATGGGTGCTGTCTCTGTCTCTACTTGGGAAGTTGCGAGTGTGAAGCAATGGAGTCATCGGAGGGAAGATGTAGAAGCGAATGGTGTGGTTTGTTTGACTAGTCCTTCATGCATGTTTGACTTTCTTTTCGGATTAGGTTTTTAAATTCTGGCGAAAATCAACGTGAAATTTTAAATGTCTAATGGAATGACACAGCTGGGCTACTACAAGGACCGGAGGCTGCTAACCAGCCCCCTTTTGGCCTTCTTTAGGTTTGACTTGGTTTTCAAATGCCACGCTTCAGTCTGTTTGGGAGTTTGATTGGGCTTCTTCTTGGACAATCCATTTGATTGGGGTTTAATCCTCCTTTTTTTCTTTTTTTTGTCTCAAAAAAAAAGTATGATGCAGTCAGTACGTTTGTGTATAGGATGAAGCAAAAAAACTACTGAATGCACGTATTTTTTTTTGTGTTCCTTGTGCAGGGGACTAAAAGCATCGATATCCAGTAGTTCTCTCAAAAACCTCCCCGCTATAAGCGTGCTTAGGGACTCTTCCAATAAATTTATTGGGCCTCAAAGGCGTACGGGCGACCGCGAGTCAGGCGGCAGCCGGTGGCGAGGAAGGGCAACGTCGAGGAATGAAAATTCAGACAGGTGGCTCCCGCCAACCTCAATTGTGTTTGTAGGGAAAGTTGCATCTCTCCCTCTATATGAGGGGAAGATGAGGTGTTTTTAAGTAGAAATCCTAGAAAATTTGGGGTTTAGGGAAACTGTTGGAGCAGGCCGGAGCAGGAGTCAGGGTCGTTAAACCCATTGCCGTTGGGAAAGTTGATCTGCGCCTGGCTGCCCTTAAAGGCTCACGCCTTCTTGTCGTATGCCCTCACTGCCGACTCGAAGGAGCCAAGCTGGTATTGACGACTTATGTCCGCGTCCTTGATTTTTGACACCCACGCCCCCACGACCACTGCCGCACGCTGTGATACTTCTTCTTCTTTCACGGCGGCATCAATACATCGGTGGTGAAAGAGCGAGAGGGGAGGGGGTGCTGCGTGCTGCTCGGGTCGGTTGTGCGACGCGACATGGATCCTCGCTTCAACTCGGTGGGGGCGACCTTCAACGAATAGATCCCGCCATTTCGGGGTGGCACCGGCCGATTGAAAGCATGAACGGGTGTGTGGGGATGACTGCGGGTTAAGTGTGGAGAGCCGGTGGGTGGTGCGAGGTGGATTTGGGCTGCGTCCACATCAATGCGGTGCGATCAAGGGGGACGGGCCGCAAGGGGGGAAGGAATATTTTCCGGAGAAGCGGCGCCGCACGAGTAAATATAAGCGGCATCTGAAGCAATGAGTAAATTTTTTTGAAGGGCTAAAGCAGACAAGGTCTTGGTTAAATTCGGTTTAATCTTTTGAAACCAATTTTTTTTTACTCCAACCAGTTTTAAGGGGCCAACTAGAGATGATCAACCGATCGATGCACATTCCTTACAAAGAAAATGTTTCTGTGTTGGAAATCGCGACGCTGACTTTGCTGGTCAAAATTATGCACTATCCTACACCCCCAGAATTTTTTATACCCATTTCGGCTGCTATGGAATACTGGAATAGAACAGATCACCCAGTCAATTGCTAACGCTGGTCCGTTCAAGCTAATCCTATTTATCACCAAAAAGTCTTGGTGCTGGGCTGCTAAGCATGCAAGCTACTGAAAGACCAGAAAATAACAATCTGCACAAGAAACTATAACAGGCACTCGAATCCACACGGAGATGTCGAGCAACTCACCGTAGTCACCGCACGTCGCCGGGTGCATGCGGCCGCCGGGGCAGAGGCACCCGAACGCGTTGGCGCCGTCCTCGTACCGGCACCCGCCGCCGGTCGCGGTGCACGCGGCGCAGTCCCCGGGCACCGTCCACTCCAGCAGGAACCCGCGCCTCACGATCCCCGCGTAGTCGTCCCACGCCCTCAGCTCCGACCCGGGCAGCACCGGCACCACCGAGTACTTGCACTCCGCCGGCCCTGCCGGCCGGGCCTCGTACCTCCGCCCGATGTGCACGGACCAGGCGCCGGTGACTGTGCCGGAGCAGTTGTTGGGCAGCCAGAGCGAACCCGCGGGCGGCGGCGGCGCGCGCGAGCAGTTGTTGCAGAAGAAGAGCTCCCAGTTGGCGCCGCTGACGGCCAGCGGCGATAGCGCGAGGCTGCTGGACACGTTGTACCGCGTGGAGCGGCAGGGGTCGTCGCTGCCGGACACGAGGTTGCTGTGGTAGGCCACGACGGAGCGGTTGCCGTAGGTGATGTCGAGGAGGCGGAGGTAGGACTCGCTTATGGTGGGCGCCGTGGCGCCGGTGGGGTCGTCGCAGGTGACGCCGAAGGTCGGGTAGCCGCAGTTGGGTTCGTGGTGGCCGCGCAGCCAGAACGGGTACGTGATGGTCAGGTCGCCGCACGCCGCCGGCGCGCAGCTCGCCTCCAGCGGCTGCGCGCTGCCGCCAAGCAGCAGAGGCATGCACAGTAGTAGCACGAGCAGCATCTCGGATCGAATGGCGAAACAGGAGGATATTTTTGGGGTATTTTATGATTGAGTGATTGAGAATGGATCGTACTACTAGTAATTTGTAAGCGGCAGGGGGGTAGTCGTCCATGGACGAGGAGGTAGCGGGTGAAGGGAGGAGCCGATTTGTGTGACATTTTGGGCGTTGATTACGGAGGCTACAGAGTTTGGTCAAGGGTAGAACTGGGGGAGATGGTCTTGATCGATCCTCGCGGCGTATTTAGCTATATTTTTGGATGACTTTGTGCATGTGTGCGAAAATTCGGGAGAGGTGGAACGTGTCTCAGATACTAACTGCAAAGATCTTTTTGAAGCATCCAGCGGGGGGGAAGGTTTCCCAAGAGCTGGGAAAAGGTTTTTCTGCCTTGATTGTTTGATTCAGAATATTAGAGTCCATGGAGGATTTTCCATAAGATTAATTTGCAAACTATTTTGGAGCAAAATTTCTATCAATCAAAGAGGACAGAAAATTCTGAAGAGTTTTTTTTTTACAATATCTCTGGAAGAGATGCTGGCAAGAAGCATAAAACCGCTAACAAATTGGAAAACGGCCAAGAAATAATGCTTGAGCTAAGTGACCATGTTGATTTCTTGAAAAGTCGATTTCTTAGTTGTACCGTAGTCTTAAGCCCTTTTTGGATTCGCCAAATATAACCAAACGGGAAAAGAGGACAAAAAGTACGAATAGAATATTATCATGTCAACCAAATTCATCAACGAAAGGAAAAAGAATAGGTTGGTTTGCTAATTACATGTCAACTGGGTTATGGTTTCAACACATAGAATATTTAATTTGCTTTTCACAAAAATGACTGGATTGTTGGGCTCCTGAAATTGTTTTATAATTTTCCAGACAACATTCACCCAGTTTTGACAAACATTTCAGTATCACCCAAATTTACAAGATATAAAATCCCGCTCATTAACCTATGCCTTTTCATCTCGAGGCATGTAGTTGATGTCTGCATGGATCGGCCGGATCATATAAATTTTTGAAGGGACCGCCTGGAATTCACTTACTGGAAAAGTTTTATGTTTTTGTTGTTTCGGAACGAATGGCTCTGAGCCATTGGATAAAAAACGTGTGGACATATCTTCCTTTTCTTCTCTCTTCAACCGTTTTTCCCCATGCAAATGTTCATCTTCTTCCTCGGATGTGATTTCTTCTCGAGCTCTGGCTCGCTACGCCATTCCTACCTCTCACATCATGGCGCGTCTCGCTATTCCTACATATGACGAAGTCGTTCCTTGCCTTCACCCATGACATCATGGTTCGCCTTACCATTCTTACCTCTGGCATCATGGCTCGTCTCGCTATTCCTACATATGGTGAAGGTCGTTCCTTGCCTTCACCCATGCCATCATGGCTCGCTGTGCCATTCCTACCTCTGGCATCATGGCTCGTCTCGCTATTCCTACATATGGTGAAGTCATTTCCTTGCCTTCACCCATGACACCATGGCTCGCCGCGCCATTCCTACCTCTGGCATCATGGCTCGCCGTGCCATTCTTACCTCCGGCGAGCTCATTCCTTGCCTTCACCCGCAACATGATGGCTCGCCGCACCATTCCTACCTCTGGATAAGTATTACATTAGTTTCTTTTTTCAAGGCACCGCCTAGGAGTTTTTGTTTGAAAAGTTTTAAGTTTCTGTCGTTTTTAGAACGAATGGCTCTGAGCCGTTGGATAAAAAAATGTGCGACATATCTTCCTTTTCTTCTGTCTCCATCTCCCAACATGAATGTTCATCTTCTTCCTCGGATGTGATTTCTTCTCTAAGCTCTCCTCTAGTCTTGGCCTTGCCTTCACCAGCCACAGCATGGCTGCCGCTTCACCCTACCTTTGGCTTAGGTTGCTATCTAATGCAAGTGGCAGTAAAAAAACGAAAAGCCCCTCGGCCCGCACCGGTCAATCCTTGTCCTCACTTCCGTGAGCGATGCCCGCGACCATCTGCTACATCGTCCCCATGTCAAGTGAGGTCATGACTCGACCTTGCCGAGGGCACCGCCCCATGTTGGCATCTCCACAACACATTGTCCATTAAAATCGAGAATCAACTGATTCGAAATTTATTTTCAGTTGCATGAGGAATAAAAAATGTGTTTTCCGGCAAAAATAAATAAATAATGTGTTTCCTTAACGTTGGTTTTAACCACATGGCATGGTTGGGGGCTAGATACATATAGCCTGTCCGTTGGCTCTCACCGTCACTTTTGGCATTAGCAAACACGTTTGAGGTAATACTAATAATGGCATGCGAGATAATGAATTTCCGAAGCTTGAGAGCTATGGTAATTAGCAGGTCTATAGTAATTAGCAGGTCTACGGAAATTAAAAAGAGGTAAAACCGAGATGAATTGATACTGACCGCCGCAGATGTTGAAGTCGGACACGCCGTCGGGGCAGTGACACTCTAAGATGTCGTAGACGGTGTTAACCCGGCAAAGCCCTCCGCTGTCCACGCACCCCGCACAGTCGTCAACCGTGTATTGCAGAAGGAAGCCGTCCGTCATCAACCGCCGGTAGTCCTTTCCGGCCGCCCCTGGGTAGCCCAGCACCGGCATCATCGACACCGTGCAGTTTCCCGGCACCGCCCCCCATTTGTCTTCGGGCATGTACCGGTCGGCGAGGAACGCGAACGAGTCATTGAGCGGGCCGTTGGCGCAGTTCACGTGAGCCCACGTAGGCGGCGGCGGCCGCGCCCGTAGGTGGGTGCAGTTGTAGAGGAAGAAGAGCTGGTGGTTAGCCGCGCTGATGGTGAATGGCGCGAGGCCGAGGTCGGAGGAGGCGTTCACGCGGAGCTCGATGTCGCAGGTGCCGTCGGCGAGCTGGGCGTTGGTGATCCGGAAGGTGCCGTTGTCGTCCCCGTAATTGATCTCCCGGATCTGGTACGTCCAGAGGGAGTTCTTGAGGGAGGCCGTGCCGTTGCCGTCGCAGCTGACCTGGTAGGCCCGGTAGCCGCACTCCGGCAGGTGCGTGCCGGCGAGCCAGAACGGGTAGGCGATGCGCAGGCCCCCGCACGCCGCCGGGTCGCAGGACGACGGCGCGGTGGTGTTTATTGCGTCGGTGGTAAGGACGGTTGTTAGCAGCAGCGTGGCTGAGCAGAGCACGGCGGCGGCGGCGACACGAAACGGCGTATGCATCGCGTCGATCTTGTTGTTGCAACGGAAGGGAGGGAGAGGCCGCCGGCTACGGGATGCTGTGGTAGACGTTGAGAGGAAAGGATGATATGAGGATGATGAGAAGAAAGCACCGGGACATTCATGGATGCGTGGTTGCCGGATGTGTTGACCATTCGTCGTCAGGGAGTTTGACTGACTGAAGTGGACACCACCGGCGAGTGGCCGAGTGGGAGCTCACCCGCCATGTGGGTCCTCACGGCGGCGCTGGCCCGGTTGCCAGTGGCCGGAGGAAGGGAGGTCGTCGGTCCGGGTCTGGGGTTTGAACGCATCCTTACCTACTGCACGGAGAAACAACCTTTCCGCCTCTACCCTTTTCTGCGAGCAGGTAAAGTAAAACAGCCGCGTGCTCTGGTCGTTACCGTATCCTTGTCCTGTGGCTGTGGGCGAATAATACGCACAGTGACCGGGGAGAACGTATCATGCATATATTTTCGGCTTTCCGCCCTCACGGGAGAAGGTAGTATCATTCATACGAGTGGACTGTCTTTATTTTCTCAAACGCGTTGCAGTAGTTTGTAAACGAGCGAACATTTTTTTTTTGCATAGTAATACGTGTCTCATTTATATCATAAGGATCATAGTACAAGCCACGTACATACCGACCTGACAAATCTGAAAAGATATCAGAACGCCAGCTTTTGCACACAGGAACACCAGCCAAGAAGTAAAATTACAAACAAGACTAAAGAATCCTCTGAGCTTGACGCCAACGCCCTCACCTGCCTCTGACACCACCATAGCAGCCACCAAAGGAGAAAATGACGGATCGCCTCCACACCCAAGCTCGACGTGGCTCCATCGCTGATATGCAGCTTTGCGGACCTCCAAGGTGGCTCGCCAATAAAGGCGAAGCCATTGCCGTTGAACGAATCAGACCGAGGCAACACCCCGGACACGCCATCGAACTTCAGATCTGGCTCCCCCGCCCAACTAAGACGTTGGTGGAGAAAATCATACCTACCTGCCACGAACCACGAACCCAGATCCACCATCTTCCAGATGCCGTCGATGCAGACCACAATCTGCATCCGCTCCTGGACTACCTCCCAAGCTCCACGCCGGCGCTGGAGCAAACGCCGTCGCAACGGCGGAGCCCGAGGACACAGGTCCACCACGAGGATGCCGCCGCCGCCGCACCATCCTGGCTTGAACAGTCTGGTTTTCAAGTCCACCCCAAAGCGGATCGCCTGTTGGGGAAGGATCTGAAGATTTATTAATCGACGCCGCCATCGCCACTGCCGAAGCCATGACGATGAACAACCCAAAATCCTAAGAAACTAATGCCTAAAACAATCCACACGCGTGGATCCGGCGACCCCCTCACCACTGACGACCGAGGTCATCAGCGGAGAGGAGCCGCCGGAGGACGGCGGCGGAGAAAGGCGCCCTGACGGCAGGTCGCCTTTCTTTCTTCTCCTGGAAGAAAGAAAGCGTACGATGCTCTAACTGAATTGGCGGATTCTTGAGCAAACGAGCGAACATTATACAGTAGCTAGTACTCCAGCTTACATGTTAAGCCTCTGTATGCGTACGTAGACTTGACTCAGGAGTCCTCCGAATCGGACAAGAGGCGTTACGCCTGCATGACTGCATGCATGCATGCATCGACGTGGGGCCCATCCACCCAAATTAGTTTATGGTTCTATTTCTATCTAGAGCGCCACCACACGAGACGCCGCCACGGCGTTCCATCCGCCGTCGCTGGCACGGCAAGGTTGACTACGAGTGAACGAACGAAGATGATAAACCAAGGAGCTTAGCCTTTGTCTTCACCAAACATCCCAAAGGCTCCTTCACCTTCGCTCCTTTTTTTACAACCACTCCATCACTTCTCGTACTCACTACCAACTATCTGTAACTGATGTGTGGTACGTCTATTTCATCTCATTATATATTTTCTCTCTACCAAATTAACTAATCTACACACCCTTTCCCTATATTTTCCTTGCTTTTATATACCACATGTTCTCGAGCTCTTTCTCCAAGACGTCTTTCTAATTTGGTATCTTATTGTGCGCCAGTGTCGGCGCTCTCCTCGAGTATGCTAGCTAGTAGCTGGTCAGTGTGCGTGCGGTGTCGTTTCCTTCCCCCTTTCTTCTCCGCCTTCAGGATCTAGATGTGTCAGCTACGGTCACCATGGTTCAAGGCCATCACCGAGGGAGGTTAGGATTAACGGGGTTCGATCTAGGGTTTTTGCATTTCTTTAATTTTTTAGGTCAAAGCTTGTAAAATTTTATTCAAAGGCTCGTTTAGATAGTTGAAAGCTTTAGTGTTTTGGGGGGAAAGCTTGTGTAGCAACAATAGAAAGCTTGGTTATTTGTTCCTTAAAATGCTTATAAGAAATAGTTGTGCTTTGCGGATTGTTTGTTGAAAGTTTGATGAATGTTGGCGTTGGACTAAAGCCAATCAATTAATAATGGTTCAAACTCGCTTTTCTTTTGTAATGGTTGTTTTTTTCTATGGCTTCAAAAAACAAGGCTGCGGTTGAATAGTGTCACAACCAAGGTTTTGGATCCCGAGTGGACCCTTTTTTTCGAAGGGTACCGAAATTGCGGTTACCACGTTAACCCCGAAATACCAAAAAAAATCGGACGAAATTTATAATCAAATTTTGAATTCAAATTTTTTGAGGTCGATATATGTATGTATTCAAAGAGCGAGCGACCACATTCGAACCCGAGACTGGATGTTGCGGAGAGAATTTCTTTGCCACTACGCCATGACCAGTAATGTTCTTATAGAGGGATGCCTTATATTTAACTAGAAGGTGGGCGTTTGAATTAAAAAATTTGAAAAATATTTGTTTTTTTTGCTCGGTATGAGTGTATTTCGTGGGGGGACAATAAACGCGGTAACTACTCGAGATCTCAAAATTTTGAGCGGCAACCAAAACGCTGGTCACAACTGGATGTGGAAGTGCATGTCGGAAAAATGAGAAGTCCAAAAAGGAACGCTTGGGCACAACAAGCGCACTTGTCGAAAGTAGTGATTGATGCTATGGATGACCACGAATTATCAGTCACCTTTTCCGATGGCGAACATCGGGTGGTGCTAGCACGAGTACATTCATAGCAACGTGTTTGTTTTAGTCTAATGTTGGTGTCGAATGGCTTCGGGCGGGCACCAGCACTACTGCGTACATATGATCTAAACTTAAACCCTTTTGGGTGCGTACCAGCTAGTTTGAACTAAAGTGGCAGACTTTGAAAATGAAAATGCTTTCGCTCTAAAGAAAAATATAGGCTAACAGAAAGTTGCAGAGAACAATCTCAGCTGATCGAAGGCGATACAGCGTTGCGTACCTGAAGATTTGGGTCCGCCCCATGCAGAAGTCGTCGTTGCCGTCCTGAAGCACGTGAACGTCCATGCATCTCGCGCCGCATGCCGACGGTGACCGCACAGGCCGCCGGATTTCTCGCAGCCGCCGCACTCCCCCATCGCCTCCGGCCTCCAGCTCAGCTCGAACCCCATGTTCAGCGCCGGCACGACGGCGTCCAGCGGGCCGCTGGATGCCGCGCCCGTCCTGCCGAGCAGGGACCTCCTGAGCACCGGCATTCCCACGACGTCCTGGCACAGCCCGGCGTAGCCGTACGGCGTGAGGTCGTCGCCGTCCCGGAAGACGTACGAGTGGTGCCGCCCGTCGCCCTCCAGGCACGCCACCTGGTGCGCCGCCGGGATGCCCATGAAGGAGCAGTGGATGAAGAAGGTCAGGTTGGCGTCCCTCGCCGTCAGCGACAGCGGCGAGCCGTCCGGGAGGGTGAGGTTGCGGCCCACGAGCGGGCACGTGTTGGACCGGGAGAAGACGCCCAGGTCGAACAGGGACACCGTGCGGTCGCCGTACAGGATGTGCGTCACCGCGTAGTCGCCCGACGGGAGCCGCAGCACCGGCGTGTCGCGCCGGCACTCCAGCCGCAGGCTCGGGTACCCGCAGTGGTGGGAGCCGTTCAAACTGCCGTTCCCGCCGTCGATCCAGAACGGGTACCGGATGTCCACCGCGTGCCCGCACCGGTACGACGGGCAGGCGGACGTGCTGCCGGCGGTGGTGTTGTTTGGATTTGGGACTCTCTCTGTGGCCGCGACGCCGGCGACCACGACGATGACGATGCTACTAGAGAGGAAGAGGAAAAGGTGGAGGTGACAGGTAATCGGGAGCGTCACCATCGCCATTGTTGCACTCCACTCACGGATGGCTTTGCCTCTGCCTTTGCGACAGGAGATTCCATCAATTCTTGTTGAACCAGCAGCCGGGAGTGAGATCATGCGTAATTGATTGTTACCATTTCGCGCGGGGGCAACTCCATTTCATCCAAGATGTGTGACGACCAACTGAAACTGAATGAAGAGAGATGTGCTATTTGCTGAAATCCTGCCAACGTACAAATTCCATAATAGATAATGCTCATGTGCATGTATCTTGTTCTGGACGTGCCAACAGCTTCACCGAAGCATACCAAAAAAGAAAGAAAGAAAGAAACAGTGCTAAGGGAATGTGCATGTATCTTGTTAATTAAAGAAGTACAGATTCAGCATATGATGATCTGAACCATGGTTTTCACTTTCAGTGAGATTTCGGTGAAATTCACTGAATTTCAGTAATTTCAGCAGACACTGAAATATTACGTTTCGGCCAAAATATTTCAGCAATTTCAGTATAGCACAACAATTCCAATATTTTTCAAAATATTTTTAAATTTTTTCAAATTTTTAATTGAATTCAAGTGAATATTTCGGTCATTTGGCTGAAATGGAAACTGAAATCACTGAAATTCATTGAATTTCAGTGATTTCGGTTGGTGCTGAAATTCTTCTGAAACTGAAATTGAAAACCATTCTGAACCAAAACCTGAAGCAACCAGCACCGGAGGCTGACATTTGGGCCAATATGTTGAAACCTACGCGAGACGTCATCAACTTAGCTGTTTCTGACATACACATCACCTCTAGGTAGGTTCATCTTGTAAACAGGATAGAGTCATCTGTACCTCCAAATGTTGGGCATTGCATCGTTGGCAATTCAAATGGGGTTTTAGAACAAACTATATGCCCGATGTCCCCCTCCCCCGAGCGCTCCCCCTCCCCCGAGCGCCCCTCCCCAACCCCGACCACCGCAGCCCCAAGCACGCCGGTGGACCTGTCCGGCCACCGTCGTCCAACGCAAGGGGACATCAGCCCACGCTGCCTCTCTTTCAGCCCCAGCTCCACCCCTTCACCCGCTGGATCTGACGCAAACCCCAAAAGAGCCACCTATAGGGAGGCACTTCTACCCTCGGCCATTAATGGGGAACCCAGGTCTGCTACCGCCAGCCCGGTCGCCTTGACTGCTGGCTCGGGCAATCTTCAAGCGCCCCTTCCGGGCTCCTTCGGCGCCGCAGCACCCCCTGCCGTCCAAGCTGCGGAGGTTAATGCCTCGGCGTCCGCTTCGGGGTCCTTTCAAGCACCGCATGCGGGTGGCCGCAGAGCCGCGTCCCCCTCTCTCGTGCAAGCCGGCAGGCCTTCCGCTGCGCCTGCCCCTGCCGAGGGACCTTGGACGGTGCAGAGGAAGAAAGGCTGGTGGCGTAAGGAGAGGAAAGCTCAACAGCACGCGCGCCAGAACAACACTAATGGCGGCAGGCGGCGCCAGCAGCGTCATCATGACTCCGCTGCCCCTGCTCCCCTCGCGGTCCGCCACCGGAGCTGAAAGCTCTTCTTAAGGAGAAGGCGGCAGGCAAGTGCTTCAAGTGCTTTGCTCGAGACCACCGCATCGGTGATTGTCGGGATCCTCCCACCTGCCTCCTCTGTGGCCGCTCCGGTCACAAAGCCCGTGGGTGCCTCAAGTTCCAGTTCGACTTTCCGCCTCTCCAGCTGCCTCCGCGTCCTCCTGCTCACCGTCGCCTCCTTTTTCCTGCCGACCATCCTATCCCGCGCCGTCAGCCTACCGCCTCTCGCCTCACATTCCCACCAGATCATCCCAACTCCCTGCGACTTCCAGCCAGAGAGCGCCTCTCCTTCCCTCCGCTGCTTGCCAATCCGCCTCCGCCTCCCCTTCCAGCTTCGCTTCCCCCCGTTGCTCCGGCCCAGCCTGACCGCCCCAGCATGGAGTTTGCGTACTTGCGTGGTGAGCCACAAAACCGGCCTTCCATGGTGACGGGCTGTGTCCGTTTCTCGCCGGCCATGATCTCGGCCGAACGTGCGAACGAGCGGCACGGCACTATCCTGATCACGGTGGGCACGCGCCCGGCTCTCACCGTGGGGCAGGTGTCCCATGCCATCGGTGCCCGCTTCGACCTGGTACGGGACCAGGACTTCCATGTCACGCTGTTCTCCAATGGGGGAGACTTCTTCGTCTTCTTCAATGACTGCGCGGTCCGCAACCAGGCCGTCCAGATGGCGGAGGAGCTGCTGATCGGGTACGCAGCTCTGCGTTTCCGCCCATGGACCCATCTGGCCGACGCCACGCTGCACTCCATGCCTTACCGCGTGCGCGTGTGCATCGAGGGCATCCCCAAGCAATCCCGCCAGCCGGAGACCGCGGAGCCCCTCTTCAACAACTCGTGCTTCATCGAATCCGTCGACGACAACCCCATCACCGACAGCGAGAAGGCATGCCTGTGCCTTTGGGTCAACTGCGCCGACCCCGACACCCTAGCTCGCCGGGGCGTCGTCATCATCGAGGAGCGCGTCCGACCTTCGTCGCCCTTGATGGACTTCCCCGAGCTGGGGATTTCGGAGCCCCCTCCCGTGCGCGAGGGGCCAACCACCGCGCTCTCCTACCCCGTCCTCATCCACATCGACACCATCATCGACTTCACGGTCGGCGGCTCGGGTGGCAGCTATAGCGGCAGCGATCATTCAGGCCAAAGCGGTATTCCATCCTCTTATTCGGATGGGTACGGCTCCCGCCGTCGGCGGCTCTCCTGGCACTACGGTTTCGAAGACGGCGTCCTCCCCACCATTCGCGTCTCCGCCCACCGCTGACTCGGGCCACAGCGGCGCGACCGCTCGCCCAATGGCCGTGGTCCTGGTGGCAGCAGTGGCAGCCAGCGCGGCCCAGCCTGCCATGGGGGGCCACCCCGCAGGCGTTCGTACGCCAACGGCTCCAACGGCGGCTTCCTCGGCGAGGCTACAGGAGCTTGGAGGCGTCGTGACGCCGTCATCCTCACAGCCGCGCAGGGCGTGGCTGCCCTAACGGAGACGACCGTCAACGACCCCACGGGCGAGCAGGTTGCGCCGCCTGGTGCCCTGCAGGAGCAGCCTGCCCCGCTGCAGCGACTGCCTTCCTTATCTTCGCCCAGGCTCGCTGGCTCGCATGACGATGTCAACGACGCCAACATCCACAACGAGCCTCCCGTCCCGGCGACTTTTGCTGTTGCCCCTCCCAGTTCAGGCAGCTCGGTGCTGTCCCCTGCTGCATGCATGGCACCCTGTGCACCCGTGCTCCTTGACGCAGGCGTGGTTGACCAGGGCCACCTAGCGCGGCCCGGTGGATCACGGCTCCCTCTCCCTTGCTCAACTAGCCTGCTGGAAGACGCTGGTCAGTCGTCCGGGCCACCCTTCCAAGCCCAGCCACTTATCGCTGTGGTGCAAGAGCCGGCCACTCAGGCCCAGGCCCACGCCCAGCAGCCGCTACAACCCTCCGAGGAAAGGGTCAACGACTTCATCAACCTCATCGCCGCCCCGGCTCCAACCACCCTGCTCCCCACCCCAACGCCCGCACCAACTGCTTCCCAGAGGCCCCCGACCACCCCCTCCGCCACCCAGCTCCGCAAAAGCTCAAGGCTGGCAAAGATGCAATCCTCCGCGCTCGGCACCATCGAGCGCGCTAGGGCTGTACTCAGGAAGAAATGGGGGATCAGCGAAGAGGAATACGACGCTCCCGAGGAGGTGCTGTTGCAGCGATTCGTCGACCTATTCAAGGACCCGCTGGCACCGGCCGAGATTGAGGCTGTCAGAGCACTCATGGGGTCTTTCAAGCTCTCCAAGGCTGCTCCACCGCCCCCAGGCCTGCCCCTGCTTCCCGTCGGCCAAGGGGTCGAAGGGGCCAGGCCTGATCCCCTGCTGCCTGCTCAGATGTGCATCATCTCAGTATGATCGACCACATCGCCATGTCGCGGATCGCCAACGCTCAGTCCGCGAGTGTATCCCCTCCTTACTGTCTTCAGTGTCGGTTTCAGTTTCGCCTGTGTGCAACCTTTCTTGTTCAGTGTTCATCCTGCTGTTGTAGTCCTTCTAAGCAGCGTTTGCCTGTTCTGTTCCTTCGAGCTAGTATCAGTGTCTATGGATAATTGCAACTGCACTGTGTTCAACTGGAATGTGAGAGGTGTTGGGGAACGTTGCAGAAAATTAAAATTTTCCTACGGTTTCACCAAGATCCATCTATGAGTTCATCTAAGCAACGAGTCTAGGGAGAGAGTTTGCATCTACATACCACTTGTAGATCGCGTGCGGAAGCTTGCAAGGTGATGATGTAGTCGTACTCGACGTGATCCAAATCACCGATGACCTGCGCCGAACGGACGGCACCTCCGCGTTCAACACACGTACGGAACAGCCACGTCTCCTCCTTCTTGATCCAGCAAGGAAGGGAGGAGAGGTTGAGGGAGATGGCACCAGCAGCAGCACGACGGCGTGGTGTTGGTGGAGCTGCAGTACTCCGGCAGAGCTTCGCTAAGCACTATGGAGTTGGAGGAGGTGTTGGGGAGGGAGAAGGAGGCAACCAAAGGCCAAGGACTCAAGGTGTGAAGTCCCTCCTCTCCCCCCACTATATATAGGGGTGCCAAGGGGGGGTGGCCGGCCCTAGGAGATCCAATCTCCTAGGGGGTGCGGCGGCCTAGGGGGGTTTCCCTCCCCCCCAAGGCACCTAGGAGGTGCCTTCCACTAGTAGGACTCCTCCCCCTTGGAAACCCTAGGCGCATGGGCCTTGTGGGGCTGGTGCCCTTGGCCCATGTAGGCCAAGGCGCACCCCCTACAGCCCATGTGGCCCCCGGGGATGGGTGGCCCCACCCGGTGGGCCCCCGGGACCCCTCCGGTGGTCCCGGTACAATACCGATAACCCCGAAACTTGTCCCGATGCCCGAAACAGGACTTCCCATATATAAATCTTTACCTCCGGACCATTCCGAAACTCCTCGTGACGTCCGGGATCTCATCCGGGACTCCGAACAACATTCGGGTTACTGCATATACATATC